GCTGAGACTGGGGGCAGCCGGATGCCTTCTGTCTCCAGCAGCTGGGATGCAGTGTTTGTCCTCTGCTTCCGTATGCACTTGGTCACTGTTGGTCTGACTTCAGGCTTGGGAGTCAGGCAGCGTTCTGCTGGGGCTGCCTAGTGAGACTGGGGGAAAAGAATGGCATTTTTTGCTTTTGAATTGCAAAACATCATCCTTTGTTCGAAACCTAGGCTCTGTGGTGCTCTTATACTGCATGAGAATGAAAGTGAAATCAATTATTCTTCTTTGATCAAGAAGCTGGGGTGCATTCAAGTGAGAAAGTGAACTGCCCCCCTTTTGCTCGAAGTCTCCCTGACGAGGCTTAGCAAAATGCAGACAGCAAATGGTGTGTGCAGGGGGGAATCAATGAGACTGTTCTGAAAATCTTCCACTTCCAGGAATGCAAACGGGATGAGGCCAACAGCCTGTGCTTGAAAATATGGGGCCCAGTCCTGGTGTGTGTTACAGACCCATAAATCACAGCTGGCAGCGCGGGTGAACTGCTGAAAGGTCACTCCAGTATAGGATCCATGGGCTCCCTGGCATGGGCACACGGATTCCTCTTATTCCTTAGTCATCCTTCTTTCCTTTCCATCTTTTTGTGTGTTTAATATAGCAAGGCTGTACTATGGCTTCTTCTGCTGCTGGGTTGCTGTAGTGGAAATGCTAAGTCACAGGCTCAAACAGTGATGGAGCACCTGGTGGGAAAGCAGGGCCAGCCCAGGGAGCTCAGGTGCATGCAATGTACCTAAGTGACTGGAAGGGGTAGAGCCAGGATGCAACCCTTCCCAGACCTCATTGAAGGGCTGGTGGGGGAGGTGAGGGCATCCCTTGCTGGAGATCCCTGCATACTTGAGGCCTTCTAAAGGTAAACAGTTCTTTTCTTTCATTTCTGTACCTGTGGCTACTGCACTTGGGCTTGTTCTCATTTGCTGTAGCCAAAGGCTTTGCCACTCTGCTATTATCATCCCATTATAGCATTACAGTTGCCACCCCTACGCTGTTGCCCAAGTGCCCCAACTGGGAGCCATTGGGGCGCTGCAGGGACAGCTGCACGCAGCTTCCTTGTCTACTGCCGAAATGCGTCATGCCTGAGTAACTTCCCACGTGTTTTAATACTGTAGTCTATCAGAGGAAGCTGGATCCAGCCCCACTGTGCCAGAAGGAGCATGCTAGAATAGTCTCTCCTGCCCTGCAGCCTGAAGGTTTGCTGTTCAGTTGCTGCTAACTCCTCCCATCACAGCTGATGCTGGCAGTTCCTGCTGCAACCAGAACCAGGGGTTTGGAAGCGATAAGTCCCATGATTGCTTATTTTGACACGTGTGGTGGTGGCAGATTTGCAGACAGCTCATGGCTGAGGACAATAAAAAAAAAAAAAAAAAGGACATGTGCTTCCTTGTAGATCAAAACTAAAGATTTGCATGGCATGCTTCTTGCTTTACACCATCACAGGATCTGGCCTCCGAGTAAAAGCAGCAGCTGGGCCCATTGGTTTGTTGGTGTGTGTATTGATGAATTTCTGAGCAGGTGCTGCTGCTGGCAGTGCTGAAGAGCAGCAAAAAGGAAATGTCTCCAGCTTTAGTTATCTTGCATGATCTTTGTGTTAGATAGCTTCAGCAATGTTCTTTTGAATCGAGCAGTTTAATAAATGAAACCTGAGAAGCACAGGAACAAGTAAACACAGAAAGCTGATAGGGATCCTGCAGGCATCAGTGTCCTGTGTTAACAAGATGGGTCTGTGTCTCAGGGCAGGTGTTCAGGTGCAGAGCTTCCTGTGCATATAACCTGAGTTTTAAGTCAGTGTAAGACTCCAAGCTGAGATTTTCATAGGAAGGATCTTGTTGTCCTAACTGTGCAGTGCATGGGGAGCTTAGGTAGCTTTGCCAGTGATGGTCAGAACTGCTGGAGCAGAGGAAATAACTTGAGATTTCTGAGCTGGGGACTTTGGCCAGCAAACAACAAATATTAGAACTGTGTGGGAAAGACATAAAAATGCATATGTCAAAGCAGTACAGGCTTTTAAGTGTTTTTCATTTAAAATGAAAAGGTCAGATTGAGTGGGGCTGTCATGTGGGGACCTGTACGTGTACCTGCCAGCCCTACAGGAGCAGACCCCTGTCAGGCTGTGCTGGTGGCTGACTCTCTGAACTTGTCAGTGCTTGAAAACTGGCAACCAGAGCAGTTACAACTCCAATTTTCCTCGCAGTGCTCAGGCTGATACTGAGCTTCCCAATGTGAGGCTGCTTTATCCCAGCTGTATTGGTGATCAGGCTGCAGCTTCTGCAACTATAGCAGTATTGATTTAAGGAAACAATAGTAGGAATTGAACTCTGGGTACTAGAAAGACTTTGAAGCGTAAACCAGATTTAAAGGTAGATCAGTAAACAGGAAGCCTTGCTTTATGTATTGTTCTTGTGCTTTAAATGAAGGTGTTTCTTATCGTGAGATGTTGTGATCTGTGCTATCAGTGGCACAGCAGTGGTGTCAGCAGTAGTGCACGGGCTGCTGCTGGTCATCGCATCTCAGGATTTTGCACTTACATCACTTTCAGCTTTGTATCTTTCAATTGGGATGGCTTTAGAACTTCTGAGTGGTTTTTTTTTTTGTGAACTGTACCTTAAATTTAGTAGCTGGGGGGTAAAAAGAAGGAAATGCTTCTTCTTTTAATAAGTCCCTGTTACGGTACTTTGTTCAGGGGCTGCTCAGTGCTTTGACTGTGCCGACTGATTCCTGCTGTTTGGCTTTGCTTTAAAATGCTTTTGAATGACAAACTGCCAGTTGAAATGCTCGAGAGTGCATTAAAATAAGTGGTCTGTACTGCACTACACATAAAAATAGAGTTTCACGTGTGTGCACATCCATGTGTCTGGACTGGGAAGTCTGTCCCTGCAGCTGCTGCTCTGAAGGCATGAGCACACTGCTGTGTTTGGTTCTGCCAGATGGGAACTGTGTTCTGCTGAGCTGTGTTACTGGAGGGACTTTCTCCTGTTACCTCTTGCAGTGTTGTAATTGCATTCTGGAATCTTTTGGTGCAGGATCATAATCAGAATTAGACACGTGCTGACCGCTGAGCATCCATTGTGGTAAGCTAGAGAAGGGGCTGGAGTTGTGTAAAGCAAAAAGATGTCTGTTAGTGGTATTTCTGCTGCAAAAGCAGCTGAACATTCCCCACAGAGGTTGCTGGGAGAAGTGGGAAACCCAGAGGTGTCTCTTAGGGTTGGTCTTCAGAAGTATTTCCCTGGGCACTGCACCAGTGATCACTGGGGTTTGTCTGTGCGTTGTGCTCTTCTCCTGAGCCAAGGTGGGGATGGGCATGGCTGAGGAGCCATGTCAGAGAGAGGGGCAGGTGCTTCTTTGGGACAGGGTGCTGCCCTGTGGCCCCACGTCAGCTCTGGGATATGGGTAGCCTTGAGCTCAGGTGAGCTGAGGCAGGCAGGAGTGGGTTTGCTGCAAGCCTGTGGCCGTGCAGTGGGATAACTGATGGGGACAGCCACAGCAGGGAGAAGAGGGTGTGGGTCAGGGAGCTGAGCCTGCTGGCATCCTGTAACTGATCTGATAAATGTTTCTTGAGTTAAACTGGCTGGAAGACAAGTCTGAGCCAAGGTCTTCTAAACACAGGTTGGATCCCAAGAATATTGTTTTACCTGGAGCTCCCAGAGGTGCTGTTGTGGATTGAATTGAAACAGTATTGGAACCAGAGGGGAATGTTGTCTTCTGCCTTTGTAGATAAGACCGAAGGGCATATTGCCAGGAGCCTGTGGGAAGGACTTAAATTGTATATAACTCTACATCATCTTAAAATGAAAAGTAAACTTGCACAACCATAATATTTGCTTATACTTGTCTCTTCCATGACGGATGAAGAGAAATTGCTCCATGGCTGAATTCAGCAGCAATAAAACTGTGCAGTAACTCATCTTAAATTTCTGAACCCTGTGGTGAGTGGGAGAGGCCACTGCTATCTCTGGCCCCATTTGTCCTCACTGCACCAGAAGGCAGTGCTGAGGCTCTCAGGGACTTCTGTACCTGCCCTACCCACACATGGGCCCTGTAGGCTGGCTGCCAACACAGGGCCCGTGGGGGTGAGCTGGGGAGGTGCCAGGGGTCAGGTTGGACATCAGTGTGCTCTTGTGGCATTGGTATGATGGAGATGTACCACTGCTCGCAGACCTGGATTGTGAGCCACCTGTTGTGTTCTGCTGTATGTTGTTGGTAGACTTGTGGGCTCATACACATCCTTAGGAGCGATTCAGGTAAAGCAAGCACGAGCCTGAACTGAGCATTTCCATCATTATGGCAGCAAAAAGCAGTAGTTTTTTTTTGTGTTGAGATGTAATAATGAAGTGATCCTGCACTTGTCATCAGCAGGGATGGGGATGTCAAAGTGCTGGGGTTGTGGCTGGAATGAGATGCTGGGCAGGGGCAGGAAGGAGTGTGTGGTTCAGATGCTGCCTGTCTCTGTGGATCCACTCAGCAGCATGTCCTGGGGTCATGCATGCAGGGTGCCACTTGTGTGGCTTGGCCTCTCTGCTCTACCAGCATCTGCTGCACAGGGAAACACAGCAGCAACTCGGTTTGAGTAACAGCAAATCCTATGAGCTTTGAAACAGGAATAATACCTCCTACCTCCTCTGTTGGCTCAAAGGACAGATTTAAGCTGTTTCTCGCATTTTGTGCTTCATTTTATGCCTTGCATCCCTACCTTTACAAATTGTCACATCTTGTTACATTCCTAGTGTGGCACCTTAGAGCTCGGTGATTAGAGGTGGTGATGTTTGGTTTCATGGGGCATAGAGGGTGGCTGCTGTAAAGTGGTCCAGAAGTACGAAGGCTACAGTCTGAAAAAGCTGGGGAAGGAAAATGCTCCGTTTCCCAGAAGTTGTGTGGGTTAAGTTGCAAGTTTTAGAGAAGAGCCGTCGGAAGCCCACCCGGCACGCATCACATGGTAACTCTCTCTCTGTCTCTCTCTCTCTTCACAGGGCTGTGAAAGAAACCCAAAGTTGTGACTCTGGCAGCACCCTGTGTGCCTCCAGAAGCCCCACTCCGAGTTCATCCCACCAGCAAGACTGTGCAGCGCGGGAGCCGGTATGTACCCATATGTCACAGACGTATGGGGTGACTTCTCAGAAGGATTTGTGGCTTTTTATGACAGTAGCGTATTGTTTGTGACTCTTTTAGGGGAGAAAAGTCTTTTAACTGAGTGTGGAGGAGTTGGGATCACTAGAAAATGGGGTAGAATGGTGATTTCCTTGTGCTGTTTGCTCAGTGGGAGCTGTGAGAGAAAGGGCTCAGCACTAGCAAGAAGCTGTGAGCGTTGAGGCTGCAGATACACTGTGCTGCGTGGTGTGTTGTGTGGCAGCACACGTTCATGGGTAGTGGTTGGGTGTGCTGACAAATGCATGCATAAGAAATGCATGTAGACACGTATATACATACATGGGTGCAGTACAGATCTGGGCACGTGGAACCAAGGATGTGCAGCACATACATCATACATGCTGTGTGCTGGCATGTGAGAGCGTGAGGGGGTATATACCAAATGTCTGTATATACTATATATGGCAATAAGGAATGCATTTGCATTCACATTCTCTTTTTTTTCTTTTTCTGTCTCTTCTGTGTCTCTGTGAAGCTGTTGCAAAGCTACCAGATTCAACCTCCTGGGGAGCCTTTCTGGCCAAGGTTTTACAAGTCAGCACCTGCTTTGCCTGCTTTACTTTCTATATTTATTCCCTTGCACCTGGTTTTTCATCTTTGCCTGCAAAGTGGAACTGTCCCAAACATTTGTGTTAACTTTTGGCTGTGCAGGACTTCAGCTTGCAAGTCCTAAGCCTGCTTTTGTGCTTGTTGTGGGAGGGGATGTAGGTGTATGTATCTCTGTGATGCTGCAGCAGTCCCCGTGCTACGTCTGTTGTGCAAGTTGTGCTTTCAGCCTCTTCGAGGCATTTTTATGAATCAAATATTCTGGGAATCCTGCTTTTGTAATACTATTTTAAGGAAATTGGTCACACCTGAGCCATTGTCCAAGTAATAACAAGCTGTGCTGCTTTGCAGGAGCCCTTGGATTAGATTTTATTCCCAGACCCCTGTGCTTTTACTTTTACCCTGGAGGGTTGGGAGTATGGCAGAGAGGGACTGGTGGTGCAGGTGAGAGCTCACTGATTCAGCTGTGGTGGCACACAGATGTGTCCAAATGACAAATCACTCTGTCATTTGGAGTGAAAGGTGCTCTTAAACAACGCCTCTGACTCAGCTCATGTTTAGGTACCAATGTTTAAGCATAAGAGCAAGACGAGTCATAATGCCGCTTCAATTGGAACCCGAAGAGACATCGTAATGCCACACAGAGGGTCTGCAATCAGCAGGAGGGAACACACATCCTTAATCCTGGATGCCGGGTTGTTGTAGTGCCCCATCCTTGGCAGTGTCCCCTTGGGGCTGCAGCACTTTCTCCCAAGCTCTGGGCACAGAAGGGCTGCGCTGGGCTGCCTGCCAGGAGCTGCCTTGTCCTCGTGTTCTCGGTCCCCGTGCCCCCAGCCCCTCTAACAGCGATATTCATTTTTGGCATGGGAGTCCTGCTAAGGTCACGCAGCCAGGCTTCAGCCCCAGGAGCCATAAAGCATACCTCGTCTGACCCCTGTGCAAAGGCAGCAATAGTTAACAGCCTTCCCTGGGGTTTCATTTCCCTGTCCCCAGTGTGTGCCATTGCTGCCTGCATTCCTCTCTGGTTCGGTAAGCCCTTTGCCTCTTGAGCTGACACAGCTGATATTTCCCCTGCTGGCAGGGCAGGCGAGGTAGTGGCATTTAACTGTTAAGGAGATCCTGGCTTCAATAGTGCTGTGGGAGCCAGGAGCAGTAGGGATTGGTGCATTCCCAGGATGGATTTTTTTGTTCCCTTCCTTACCTTCCTTCTGCTTCATCCTGCTGCTTCTCCTGGCGCTGACGATACCTAGGAATTGTTTTTTATGATGGGCTGTAAATGTCTAAGTTGGCAGAACTTTCCCAGGCACATTTACAACCCATCTCACCATGGTTTTTGGAGCATCTTTCGCCCTGGTGGCTGCAGTGCTCAAAAAATTTCCATTTCTGACCATGGAGGACATCCTTCCTGCTGGCTACGTGGGACACATGGCTCTGGGGAAAGGTTTTAGGGGGTTTAACAAGCATAATTGATTAGCTGCCCACAGAGCATTGGTCCCAGCCTGCATTTTGGGAATGCAGTGCGCTGGCATTGCCTGGCTGTGGCACTCAGTGTCACTTGAGCTGTTGGCTGTTCAGTGCTGCCTCTACAACCGTCTGTAAGGACGTGTGCCGTGCTGCCTTGTAAGGTTTACTTTTTGCAGTGGAAGTGACAGATGACCGAGTTAAATGTTTTATTTCAAAAGAGAGAAAGCTTTGTTTTCTTGTGATGCTCAGGTTTAGATGTTTCCTGTCACCTGTGGTGTCAGGGACTAAACTCACACTGTCTTGGGCCCTGACCCCTGTTGCTGGAAGTAAACGTGCAGCTACTGTTACTGCGGGATTTTGGCTTCTCCTGCAGTTTGTGCTTTGGTATCAGTGAAAGCCAGATGTGCCGTAATGACACTTTTTTTTTTTTTTTTTTTTTTTTTCACTGCTTTTTGTGGCCATACATGGGCAGAGTCAGCTCTGGAATTCCTTTCCTACAAATTCAGTAGTATCTTGTGGGTGGTGCTGGGGAATCACTCTGGTAGCACTGCCTGGGCAGCCTGTTCCCCTTGCAAACGTCCCAATTTGCACATTCCTCAGTGCTGCGTTCCTGGCTGCAACTACTGGGAGGCTGCTGGGGCAGAGGGGCTGGGAAGGATTTGCTGTGCTGGTGGGTGCATTCCCCTCCTGCTGGGCTGCAGGTTGGCACAGGGCAGCTGTGGGAGGATGGGAGAGGGCCATGCTGTGTCTGATGGTGGGAGCGAATAGCTTTTGTGTGAGGGTGGGCTCTGCCCTGGAAGCAAAATATCTGCCTTCTCACATTGCTGCACAGGCTGAGTGTGCTGTTGGAGTGGAGAAGTACGGTGTTAATCTGCTTCTGTCTGCCATGGCATCCCCGTGTTGTGCATCTCTGCCCAGGCAGCAGTGAGGCTTTTCTCTTGAAGCCTGGGGGCTCCTTGTTGGGACAGAGAGGTTTTTGATTACAGGCTGGAAGAATGGCTTTCGGATCTAGGGATGCTGTTGTCCTGAAGCTCTTTTTAGATGCAGGAGATCTTTGCACGTCTGGGACATGTTCCTCTCCATAGGGTCAACTATGTGCTTTTTGTAAAGAACTGACTGACTGAGTCAGATGAGGAGAGTGTTTCCCTGTCCCATTTGAGCAGCAGGATCAGGACCTCAAGGCCATGTGCAGTCTTGATTGTGCTTTATTGGCCGGGTTGGCCTGATGCCCCTCTCAGATGGGTCTGGTTGCTGGGTCTTGTCTTTTCTGATCATAAACAGAGACTAAATTTGCCTATTGGGTTTTCTGGTAAGGTAAGGGATGAGAGGAACGTTTCCAATAGCAATTGTAGATGAAGAATGATGCGTCCTGGACCTGCCCCTGTTGTGCCTCTCTATTCATCCCTGGTAGGGGACAAAATTGTCACACACAGAGCCAGGAGCTGTGTAAGGCAGGATGCGGCAGCGACACGCAGCACCAGGTTCAGACTGCGCTCGGGTCAGCAATGGTGATGTGCTCAGTATTTGGAATTCAGGTTCAAGAGGGGCAAGTCGTCCCAGTGCCAAAGCCAGACAAAGAAGGGTGATTTTTTTGACATCCTTCGGAGTTTTGATCTCCATATTTGGAAATGTTTACCCATTGCTCTGATCTATTGCAAGGGAGGGGAGGTGACTCAGGGTCTGGTGGAAGCAGGATTTGAATTCCTTTAGTAAAGGGTTTTTTTTTTTTTTTCTTTTCATTCTTGTTTTGGAAGCTTCTTGTGGTCACTTTTCAGTTCTCTTTTGCTGCTGGACCTTGTTCCAAACTTGATCTGCGCGAGAGGGAAGCGAATTAGTGCAGGAGCTTGCCTGGATGCTGGTAAGTGCATCATTGCTGCTTTAGTGAGCGACCTGGGGTTTTTTGTTTCGTTTAGTGGGATTGCATCAACGTGCGTGCGTGGCTGCTGGTGGAGGCAGGCATGCGGATCAGCAGTCAGCAGAAACTGACCCAGCAAAGCCTTCTGTAGCAGGGAAAGGGAACTTAGCGGCTTGGGCTCAAAGGCAAAATGTTTCTCCAGGCCTAGGTATAAAGATAATGTAAGCTCCCATTCAGTCATGCTCTTCTAGTTTCTGGATAACGCAGTGAGGCAGCGAAGCAGTGTAGAGTTAAATGGCTATATATGCATGTGGTCAGCAAGTAAAATATAGCTTAAGAAAGATCTCTGTCTCCTGAGCGAGTGTGTGTGTTAAAAAGGCTGTGTAACACGTAGATATATTTATTTCAAATGTTAATATTTAACTGTCCTGTTAGAGAACTGGAGAAGTTTAGCATCTTTAACTGGATGAAGGAAAAGTGTATGGCTTCTCCCGTTACTCTTTATTTTTCCCTAGTGAGTTTTTTCTCCATCTGATACCACAGCTGTCTGCTTCTCTTTATTTTTTCCCCCTTTCCTTTCTCCTTCCTGAAAGGAAACTGCGGCTCATCCAGAAAGTCAGGGATACAGGAGAACCTGGAGCATACTTGGCTTCCTGTTTTATTCATGGCAACTAAAGCCACGCTCAGGAATCTGCAGTGGAGATCCACCGCTGCATTCCTCTTGTCATTTGGAGCATGTAACACGGACAGAGAGCTTTTAGTGGCAGCTCTGGGGGCTGCCTAGCAGAGAGCCCTGTGCCTCAGACACCATTACTGCACCTCATCCTGTGCTTGGGAAGGGCTGCTGCTGAAATACGACGTGTAGTTCCTCTGCTGGTTAGTGGTGCTTGTGTCTCTTTTGCTGACTGGTGTTTTTAGGCTGATTCAAACTTGTTACCATACTCTCCTGATTTTAAGCTTTAGTCCTCTTAGGTTTTTTTTTTATTAGTATTATTTTTTTTTTTTTACATCTTTGTTTTTCTTTTGCCCTTTTAAGTGGGGATGAATACTTGTTAAGAGGTTTGGTTTTCCTGGGGATGTGGATCAGAACTTTTGGATGCATAACTGGGCATTTGTTGCTCTGTGCTAGAAGTGCTTGGCATAATTTGCACAAGGGTAGGATGTGAGCTGAAGAGCATTCTTTCGCAGAAGGTGGCAGAGGAATTGCTGGGGAGTATTCCTGCAGACAGGATTGGTTTGGAGCCTGCAGACTTCAGACTTCAGAATTTTAATCCTTGTTTCAACAAGCTACTTGGATTACTGCATCTTTTGGGATCAATTTGCTGTGCTGGGCTTCGTTTTCATGCCAACAGAACCACAGAATCATTAAGGTTGAAGAAGCCCACTAAGATCACCTAGCCCAACCCATCCTCACCGTGCCCACTGACCACATCCCTCAGTGCCACATCTCCATGGTTCTCAAACACCTCCAGGGATGGTGACTCTCCCACCTTCCCTGGGCAGCCTGTGCCAGTGCATCACCACTTTTTCTAGGAAGAAACTTCCCAATACCACCAACTTGCACCTCCCCTGGTGAAAACTTAAGGCAGTTTCCTCTTTTCCAGTCACTTTTACCTGGGAGAAGAGGCTGACCCCCACCTTGCCACAACCTTCTGTCAGGTTGCTGTAGAGAGCAATAAGGTCTTCCCTGAGCCTCTTCTTCTGCAGACAGAACCATCCCATCTCCCTCCCATTGTGCTCCAGACATTTTACAGCTCTGCTGCTCCTCTCTAGACATGCTTCAGGACCTCAATGTCTTTTTGTACTGAGGGGGCCAAACTGCTGCTGCCCAAAGGCATTCACAACCTGAGCAGAGAGAGGAAGTGATGGGCTGGATAATGGGCTTCTGGGGCTGTGTATGGGGCTGTGCAGCATGCAAGGCCTCACCTGAAGACCTGCTGAAGGAATTTTGCTTCCTTGGCTGTGTGTGACAATGTGGTGAGCCAAGGTCCATCACTCCATGTGCACTGCGCTTTGCCCTTGTGTGCCTCTGCACAGTGCTTCCAGCTCGGCCCCATGTCAGTAGCATTGGGTTGTGGCATGTCCAGGCTTTGCCAGCTGCTTGTAGCCCAGCTTGGTGTTTGGGGGCAGCACTGCAGGACTGGAAGTGATGCTGTTCTGTTCCCCTCGCAGTCTCTCCCTTTCTGCGCTTGTTGGAAGACCAGGATGAATGGTGCAAGGCCCAGTGGGTGGTGGAACTCAGGGCCATGCATTGGGGCTGGTCATCTCCTGTCTGAACCTTCCCTGTGAGACGTCTCCGTTGGATGGATCCGAAGGCTGAGTGTCCCTGTGGATGCTGGGCCCAGGGCTGGAAGCACAGCTACCGGTGTTCTCCCTCTGGTGTTTCTTTGGGACCTGGGCAGATCAAATGATTGCTGATGCTAACCAGGATCTGCAGCAGATGAGCAGGAAGGATTTTCTTCTGCTTCAGGAATGGAGCCATTAAGGGCTGACTTGTAAACTAATACAACTCTGTAAAGATTTTTTTTCTCCTTCAGCTTGGCACCCTGTAAACACTCAAGCCTGAGAAGCTTTCCATGGCTTCCATGGAACTCAAGCACTTTTAGAGAGCTCCATGCCTGTGTTTCTTAAACCTCTTGTAATGATGCATTAAATGCAGACGACTTGCTTTAGCTTCCAAGTAAGCAGGGTTGGTTCACTGCCCATCCTTCAGCCTGGCTGTTGCATCACATTATCACAGCACAACTCACCAGGCTGGCACCACGTATGATATGGCAGTAGTGACACTGTTGCTGTGTGACCCATTGGTGTGCACTAAGGGCTGGGTGCACCTGTCCCACAGCAGGTAAGATCTGCCCCAGGTAACATGGGAATAGCACATGTGGGCAAGGAGACAAGGTTATACATAGATGCCTCTACATGTCTGATGCTTTGCAGAAGTTTCAGAGCACTGGAACCCTGAAATATGTCTGCAGGTAGAGGGAAGTTGTGTTTTTCTGGTGGATGCAGCTGTAGAAACTGAGGCACCATGTGGCAAGTATGGGACAAGTTCAAATCTCCTGATTCCATGTGGCTGTTGATGTTCGGCTCCTGCAGCAGGCATTTTACAACCGTTTGCTGAATAGTGATGTTAAACTCATTTCTCTTACTCTAATAAAACCATACCTTTCTGGGCAAGAAGCATTTCTACATCAGTTGCTTAAAGGTAAACCAAGTCATCTTGAGTATTTCATAAAGATGATGTATGTTGGCAATATGTGACACGACCTCAACATGCATCATTATTCTGGAGTTTCCAGATGGCACTTTACCTAATTGTGCTGCTGCTCCTTAGTATCTGAGCAGAGTGCAGTCTTCTAAGAAATGTCTGTGGTTATTAGCTTTATAATGCACATTCCTGTGTAACAGCTGTTGCAAGCAGCAGGAGGCCTTACTCTTGGCCTCATTCTTCAGTCAACTTTGAGGGAAATTCACTCCTGTGCACCAGGTATTTGCATTTGGGGTGAGATCTCTCAAATGAGAAAAACCTGTTTGCCTCTGGTGAGCGTGTCAGTTCAAGGACTTGCATACCCAGGAGGAACAAATGAGTTGCTCCTGCTTCCTTACTGGCTAACTGTGCATAGGGCTCCCCAGTTCCCTGATGTGGGGGGTGACTGCATTTTAAAGACATTTCAGGTTTTGGAAGTGTGGCTGCCTGCAGCAGAGAGGGAAGGAGTTCTTGTGCTGTGCTGTCTCACACCCCTACTGTGAAAATATCACACGGACCTGTCCCAGAGAAGCTGTCTGTTTTGGCAGCTCCTTCCCTCCTACATGCTCGTTCTTCAGGTAAATCTCTTATCTCTGCCAGCCATTCCCCCTTCCTCCCTGAAAAGTCATTATCATCTCTTGAAATTAAGGAAAAGACAGGAGGAGGGAATAAAAGGATGTTGAGAAGTAGAAAACAATCAATTAAATAGTACATAGCATGTAATTTTCCTTGGAAACTTACCATGAAATTGAGGAGCACTTTAACAACTAGTAATTTAAATTGCATTTGAACACTGCTAATGGGTTGTTTGCATGGGAATTTTGGTCATTTCACAGCAGGCCCTTGTCTTTGGTACCCCTTCACTCACTTAAAAGAATAGAAATAAATAAAAGCCATTGTCCTGTAGATAAATGGTCCAACTGTTGCTGGTAAAAGGTGATACTGTAAGATCTCGTTACTTTCAGGACTGTTTGCTTCATTAGTGTCAGCTTGTCCAGTGTTAAATTCAAGGGAATTAATTAGTTTTGATCTGAAGAAGCTTGCAGGGCTTGCTATTGCTGAAAGGCAGGAAAATGACATTATCCCTGCTGTACTTAAACTTGTTGGAGGTAGAATGGCTGCAGGAGCTGCTCCAGGCTGACGTGGGATCTGTAAGCTGTCCTGTGGAGGACCCCACTCATCAGAGTCCTCCCTGTCCCCACACTGTGACCCTGGCATGGGGCTGGGGCTGGCCTGGGAACGCAGGCCACGTCTCTATCACTCAGAACAAATCACAACAGCCTTTTGTGAGCTGATCCCAAAGGGAACAACAGCGAGGTGTGGATCAGCTGTAGCTTCGGGATGTTCTTATGGAACTTAGGTTTGTTTTTGTAATGTTTAGCGCTCTCTTCCTCCACTGTACTTTTAAAACACCAGCGATTTTCAGCAAAACATAGTATATCGTGTGCTGTTTTGCCACTGGTTTCAGTGGGAACGGGCCTTATGGCAAGGCAGAGGCAAGTTTCTTGTCGCCTGTTGCTGAATGAACATCTCGTTTGCAGAGCAGGGTTTTTGCAAATCCGTGGGCACAGCTAACATATGGAAGGGGGTTCCAGTATAAAAACAAATCTGGCCTTCTGTTTCTGGATGTGTAGGCTGTTTCTTAGAAGATGGAACCTTTCAAATCTGTCCCTGCAAACGTGGCTGTTAAGTTCTTCTATTTCAGAGAAGCAAGGCAGCTGTCTGCACTTAGATAAGCTATAAAAAGGCAATATTTTCCCAAAATGGCTTTTTAAGCTCTACCTGCTAGACAGCTCAGCCAACATGGGTTCAGCAGGAGCGTGCCTACCACTGCCCTTCTATGCATGAGACTGTGAACAATGTGAGAACTTCTGGGCAAGTATCCAGGGCAGCACTAAGCATCAGCCCTTCAGTCTCTCTTAGGGAAGGCTGCTGCACAGAGAACTGCCTTCAGGCAGCTCTCCCTTTGCTCTGTTGGTTTGATTGTTCTTACAGGATGTTGTAAGGGGAGATACAGATTGGCTATAAGGAAGAGGTTTTTTGTGATACGAGTGGTGAGGCATTGGCACAGGCTGCTCAGAGAGGTGGTGGGTGCCCTGTCCCTGGTGGCACTCATGGTCAGAGGGACCGAGCTCTGAGCACTGATGGAGCTGTGGGTGTCTCTGTTCATTGCAGGGCATTTGGACCAGATGACCTTGAAGTGCTCCTTCCAATTCAAATGATTCCATGACTAGGTTCTGTGTTTAGAAAACAACTGCTTTAACTTCAGTTTTTAATGTTATTTGCATCTTCCTTGTTGCTGCCTTGCCTGCAATGGCCATCTCCTTTTAACTGCAGGATGCTTTTAGTGTTCTCCCTCCAAGTGATTTACTTGAATGTGTTTCTGTTTGCTGTGCAGTCTAAGGATGGCTAAGTTGAGATGAAATTGATAACAAAAAATGTTATTTTTCCTAAGGGTAAGGATGAGGTTCTTAATAGTATAATAGACTTCTTATTGATACTTCCCAACACAGATACTATCCACAGTTCTTTTAGTTATCAGCTAGTTATCTGCAGAAACATGAGTGCAGAAGGCTCTATCAGGTAATCTCTCTGTTGAAACTGTTGGGACTGAGGGGGATGTGGCTTCTGAGTGGGTGAGTGAAGAATATTTTAAGCTGGGGGTTGTGAAGGTCAGCATTTGGGGGGGGGGGGTGATGGAGGTGGTGACCTTGTGTGGGCTGGAGACTGTTGGGGGGAAGGCAGGGGGAGGCCCACGCGGTGCAGAGGGGCCAGAGAGCAGCAACATGTGGTGTTGGGAAACTTCAGACATCTCTGCTGAGATAAGGAGCCAGCTGATAGCACCAACCCAGTGAGCTGTCTAGCAAGTACTCTTGCCTTTTTTTTTTTAATTAGTTGAATAAGCATCTTAATGATTCTTGCAAACTGCTGCACCCACTGCACAAATCCCCTATCATGTGTGGGTGCTGTTGTCAAATAGACAGCAGCTTCAGTGCTCAGTACTGACATGGAAGAGTTATATGTTCTTTTTCTTGGTGCATGGGTCTCTTGGTCCCTTTGTGGTCCCTCTTGGTGCCTTTTGTATTGTGCCTAACCCTGCCTTCTCCTTGACAGGTTTTTCCATATCAGCATTCCGCTTATCTCCTCTCCCCAAAGCAGAGACACTTGGCTGGTAAAAGTCAATATATATTTGGTAGCTACTCCTTCACTATCTGTGTGTTTGCCAGTACCAAAACCCACTGAAAACTGGAGGTGTCTGGGGTTTGAAATAATCCCAGTATGTTATTTCTGGCTGTCTTCTTCCCTTGTTAGTGCATGCAATGCTGCCACAAGTTTCTGTGTGTCTCGTGGTTGGAGCTTATGAGTGAGCAGTGCAGGTAAAGGCCCTTTGTTTGCCCACCTCCCTTTCTCAACCATTTTTGAAGAATGTTGATAAAATTTAAGTAATAGCCTTGTAGCTGAGAGATAAGGAAGAAAAAGTCTTAAGTGCTGATTAGTTTGCTGTGGAGGGAACGCAAACACCGAGGGAGCTCGGTGGAGGGAACTGACACTGAGCTACCCTGGAATGCTGAGACCGCTTATTTATCATTTACCCACCTCGTAAAAGCTTTAACGGTGGAGTAGAAGCCGGTTCTTTTCCTTAAGAGTCTGCAATCCAAGGTGGACAAACATGCACTTGAGGGCTGGGTGAGGGAGGGCTGGAGATAGAAATCTAGATAAAGGGGTTACTAGAAGAAAAAGACTTCGGAGGTGGGAAGTATGGCTGATGGGAAGGGTATTTAATGTGCTAGAGTGGATAGACAGAGGAGGGTGAATGGGTATGGAAGGAGGTGAGAAGACCTGAAAGGAAATAAGGTTGAAGAGGAGGGCAGAAAATGAGAAAAGCTGTGGGAGGAAAAAAGAGCAGTGAGGCAGCTGTGGGAGGGGACACTGTGGGATGCTGTAGATGAGAGTCAAGATGACCTTAACTTTTCTTTTTTTGTGTGTTAAAAGTTATGCTGTAACTCAGCTACTGGTATTAGTCATCTCTCAGTGTATAAAGTACCAGTTTCTACCTTGAATGGAGAGTGTTGGTCTCATCTGAATTCCAGAGCTGGAAAGTCTCTTGGCTGGGTTAGAATGCTTTGTGCATCTGGTGAGGGTGGTTACACACCATGAAATTTTGTATGTGCACCACTGCAAAAACCCTAGTAGGCAAGTGCATAAGGAAATTCTGCTTAACGTTATCAAAGTTAGTCCTCCAGAGAAAACAAATCACAGGGGGGCTTGTATGTGTGTGTACATATTTAATATGGATGTGTATGTTATGAACTGTTTTTCAAGTGAGACAGACTGCACTTCAGTGAGATCTAATGGGAAATAGGTGGGAGCAGTAGGTTTTGCTGTGTTGTATCCACTCCTAGTAAAAGAAAAGTAATCTTTGCACTCGGGTCCTTGTGCATTAACTTCCATGGAACTGAGCTTAGAAATCTTAGTGGTCATCTGGTTCCTGTGTCATACTTCTCAGTTCATGAAAAAGACCTTAGGACTTTCCATAGATTCTGCAGGGGTTTTGTTCCAGTCCTGAGGACCAAAGGAATCAAGGAAAGATTTACTGTCACCAAGCTTATTTCCTTTTCTCTGGTTTCTTCTCTCCTTTTGGAAATAGTTGGTCTTAATTTTTGGTGTTTATACTATGGCCAGTGTCCGTAAAGCTCTGAGTTTTCCTGAAGCAGCAGTAACAACTTCACCTTTCGTCCAAAATCTGGTTCCCCTCCTTCTTTCTTAATTTTGTTTTTATTTTTATCTTGAAGGATTTCATGCCTGATCCACATGTTTTTTGTGTGTCTTCTTCCACTGCTGTTGCTTTCCAGATCTTTCTTCTGGTTTCTCATTTTCTCTCCAGACTGGTCTTTTTCTGTTTCCCCCATTAGTTAGAGACAACTTCTTTGTAGCTCGTAAATGGTGTGGAAACTTGATGGGCATCTCCTCTGGAGCTCAGTCCATCTACTATCATGGTATGCTGTTTCAGCAGGAAAAAAACCTGGGCTTGGAGCATCTAAAATTGCCCATTATCTAGGCTCATTTCTTGTAGTCCATAATTTGGGGGTGGAAAGAAGAGGCGAATCACTCTAAAAATGACTGACTCCACCATAGATCGATACAAAATGTTCCATTACGTTTTCATTGTCAAAAATGACTTCCCTCTCCCACCCCCTCCCCTTCTCCTGTGAGATGCTGCAGAGGCTGCAGAGACGTGGTCTTGTGGTACAAATCAGTTCGTGGCCAGCTTGGCAAAATGGTACCATGATCTTAGCTGAGAACTTCCTTTTTGAATGAGCTGGGGGCCGAATGTGGTGGGGGCGACCTGCTTTCAGAGGAAAAGAGGTTTTTGGCCACTGTAAGGGGTTTTCACATGCTGAAGGCAAGGAGCAGATCTGTTTGATGAGGAGCCGCTCCCTGCTCTCCTCTTTGGCAAGAAGGTCAACAGATGTGCAAAACATAAGGCAATACAAAGAGACATAATAGAAAGTGTCATGGGATATCTGCCAGCAACCTCCTTGGGCTGTTGCCACTGATCTCGGGCTGATGAGACATTTAGTGGTGTGTCTTTGCTGAAATTTCTCATTATCTGTAGTGATGGGGAGGAGGTGCAGATATTGGGCTTCCTTGTGCCTACAGATATTTACACAGCCCTTGGCTTTTACAGTGCATTTAGGGCAATGGTATTACCCTCCTACTTCCAGTAAGTGAGGAGGCTAAGGGACTTGCCCAAAGCTACACACACAGGCACAGACATGCATATGCATTCATCTTTATGCATGTATACGTGTACATATGTCAAGGCCAGGGACTGATCCAAATTTCCCGCTTCTCTTTATTTTGTCTGTCTTCTTGTGGCTATCAGAAGCATCTTCATGGGCAGAATGATGTGGTGGTAGGCAAGAGATAGTGCTGGTGTGCAGTTTTCACAGCCTGGCATGGATGCTGTCTATGGGGCTGTACCCATTGGTGTGGCATATCCACAGACTGTTTTCAGTGGTGAGTGGAGACAGGACAAGGGGAAATGGCCAGAAACTGCAGCATAGGAAGTTCTGCACAAATGTGCGCAAGAACTTCTTTACAGTGAGGTGACGGAGCACTGGAACAGGCTGCCCAAGGAGGTGGTGGAGTCTCCTTCTCTGGAGATGTTCAAGACCTGCCTGGATGCCGACCTGTGCGACCTGCTGTAGGGAACCTGCTTTGGCAGGGGGGTTGGACTCGATGATCTCTGGAGGTCCCTTCCAACCCCTACAGTTCTGTGATTCTGTGATCTGCCCGTGAAGGAGACAGTGGGTATCACTGCACTGACCCATGCATCCTCTTGTAAAGGCTGCAAAGTGTTTGAAGTAGTAGAACACCTCCTACCTGCCTCAAGTGAGGCCTTGATCTACTGTTAAACTTGCAGCACTACTTCATAAGCAGAAACAAAACTGGCTCACGTGACCAATTCAACCTGTGAGGGAGTTCATGGGCAATCCTGGTGTCAGTAAGTTTTAGCACAGATAGCAAAAATGACATCTTCTGCTTCATCCCACACTGGGAGAAGATCTTGTGAGGAGCTGGATGGTTTGGGATTTTGCATTCTCATGAGCGTGTCAGGAGCAGGAGCCAGGATGCCCTGCTGAAGCTGTCTGGGTCGCTGCTGCTCTGCTTCTAAGCTGATGCTGCAGAAACTGAATGCTGTGGGATCCAGGGCTCACGCAAATGTGTTTACCTAGCAAATAAAGGTGGGAGAGAAAAAAGGAAAAGCCTCAAAGCAGCTTTGGGTGTTTTTAAGTGGTGAAAATGAGAAATTCCTGAGTGGACGTAATTATTGCCTGTTTAAACAGAAACTTACTTAGCTGAAATATCAACTCCTATGGAAGAGTTTTCCTGGTGTGTCCTTTTCATCTCTAACCACTGTCCTCTGGGCAATGCCTCCAAAGGTGCTGGGCACGGCGTTTTTACTTGGACTGGTACCTTGCTGTGCCTGTTTGCAAAGGGCATTGGCTTCTTTCTTCCTTGGCTTGATCCACCTCCCTGACTGTGTCAGGGCAAAGTTGGTGAGTTCGTACAAAAATTCACCTACTTGTGTTATGCATGGGCATCGAATGCCTGGCATTTGTTTAGGTGGAGTCGTTTGGTCTCACTGATTGTATACATATGTAGGGAAATTCATGTCTACGTATATACAGCAGTTGAGGGAGGCAGGTGTACCACACTGATGTTTCTCAGGGCTTCAGATGAGGCCCCAGATGTCCTCATTTGCTGTAATTCCAGTGGGAGAAAGTGCAGAAGGGACCTGTCTCAGGGCTGAAGGGCTTTTTTCCCATTTGACCCATATGTGTTGTGCATTGTCTCAGCCTTGCTGACGGATGCTCATGGAGTTGTCATAGTAAATCCTTTGGGGAATGGAGTATGTGGTGGAGACAGAATAGATGGTGAGAAATGTTTGGGTGTGACCTGCACACTAAGAATTCACAGGGTCTTACTGGTGATACGTGTGTTGTGCTACCAGCTGGCTGTGTACATGATGCTATCTGTGCTTACGTGCCATTTGTTTGTTTAAAACATACATAAAATACGAGGCTATTTCAGAGCACTGTGCTGGGTGGTCACAGTGAGACTGCTGCCCAGAGCGTCCTTGTCGAGATTAGAACACCACAGTGAGTGCTGCTATTGCCCTAATGGTTGGAAAGGCAGTGACCTGGGGCTTTCTGCTCATGTTAGAAAATGAAAAAGTTCCTTTTCCCTTCTTCCTTTCATATATATTTTTGAAAACACCAATCAAGTGTCTCTGTGGTGCCTTCTGCAGCAGTTGCTTCACTGTGTGCTGTTGTCCACCTGCTCTTTAGAGGCTCCTTTGTTATTCTGATGCCACAAGTTTTCTTTTCCCTTAATTGTTCACCTATAAGTAGCGGTCTGCAGGATGTGATTCACTGAGGCTACGCTATATTTGAGCCTAGTGATGCACACTGGATCCATAGCAGGAATAAGTGGCACTGTGGTACCTTATATTACAGTCTGTTCTGTCGAGGCTGTTCTTTGCTGCTTGTTAAGAAACTGTGTTGCACTCCTTGCAGTTTATAAGACTTTGAAAGCTTGACATGGACATGATGTTCCCCCGCAGATGTAGCTGCCGTGTCTCTCAGAGCAGTTCTTTTGGTGCTTTTGACTACTGAAATTAATGTGGAGCAAACTCTGAAATGTTTGAACAAGCTGAGCTGGCCTGGTAATATCTCTTTTCCCCAGGCAAACACACAGAGATGCTCAGCCCTCCCTCCCCCTTTTCCTTCCTTTCTCAGTCTGGAGACTGTCCTGCTATTGTTGATTACTGGTGTCCTGCACAAGTGTTCTTCATTTGTCCCTGGAGAACTCACAGGTTGGTGCTCATTTGTTTCCAAATCATTGTCCTTGCAGTCTTGAATAATATCCCCATTAAGCAGGTGGAGTTGATAAAATCACTTCCAACACAGCTGACAGCAACTAGGTCAGATCCTTTCTCACTGTTTCCTGACTGGAGAAAATAAAGTACACATGAAAGCAAAATACACGAGTTTTCCCCTCCGTCTCTACTCCCCAGGCCCCCCAGTCATGGTTTCCTCAACAACAAAAAAGAAATCGCAGCCAATCCGTTCCACGGAAGAGTCTGAATTTGTCAGAGTCAATGTTTCCATGTCTGACAAAGCTTAAAACAGAAGAAAAAAAAAATGCAGAGGCTGCATGTATGTGGTCTGGCTTGTGGCCAGGCAAGGAGCGCTCTTTAGGGTTATTATTAGGTAGATAACTGTATCAAGGGCTTAAACATCAACCTGGTTGCGAGGGCTGCTGCTCTGTGCTTGAAATGCTGATGCATGTTTGATGCTTATGTGAAAATGAATTGCACAGTCTGAAACCACTTTTCTTTTTTTCTTTTTTTTTTTTGTATTTTTTGTATTTTTCCCCCATGATAACTTCAGTGCCAGTGCAGTTCCTGGGAAGTGATTACAGCTGCTCCATGGGGAGCTATTGCTTGTTTTGGGCTTGCAAATCTTTTTTTGCTATTAGGACCAACTCTCTGTTAGTGTCTCTAATAGGAACCATACTTGAGAGTTTGCACAGGTTGGAGGGATCTGTATCCAAAGGGAACTGGACTGCCTTAAAGATCATTTAATCCGTCCTCAGGGCCTATCTCAATAAGGTGAGGGAAGTTTTGGGGGCCCTGGGCTCTGCTTTTGAAGGTGTGTGTACACAGAAGTACTCAGGGGCACAGGGAAACCAAATCACTGGGACTTCAGTGTCTCGAAGCAGAGAGGGGCAGGAGGAGGTGCAAGAAAATATGATAGGAAGGACAACATTCTGATGATCCTTAAGAACTGAGACACAGTACTTACTGCCCTGGAGGAGCAGGAGCTGATGGAGAGAGATGCACAAGGCAAGGTGACGCGGGCAGAGCGGCAGCCTGGGAAGTTTCTTGTCAAGTGCTTCTTGGAGACCGGCAGAAGAATGTCTGTTTGCAGTGCTGGTAGATACCACGTATCTGTCTATGTTCCCATCTATATATGGTATGTGCAAGTCTATATATAAATGCTTTGGTGGCTGGTATTTTGGCTGATACACTCACAGTTTTGTGCCACATTGAGAGATTTAAAAATATCTCCCTGTTCCAGGAACTTCTATACCATGACAGATGTCATCTGGTGTGGGGAGTGGCTTCTGAAAAGAGAACACAACGCTACAAGCGTACTATGAGCCTTAGGAGTCTATTAGATTATTTATTGCTCCACTGCCACCATAAGACGTGTGAGGTGCATTATTTCTGCCTGTCAGTTTTTTCACACGTTCAGTCAGGCAGCATCTGTCACTCCTCCCTGCAAGTCTCTTGCTTTCATTCTCAATGAACTTGCTTTCCAGCTGGAAAGGAGGCAGAATAAAGATTTCAGGAGTACTCAGAGCTAACAAACGAGTTCATTAACAATTACTTAAAGTCCTGCCTCTGAGAATTAGGGTCTCACTTAGCAGGGCTGCCCAGCCAAGCATGGGTCACCCCATGCTCACTGTTGTTTTATTTGGTGGCGAGCCTGCAGACCTGTTGTGTCAGGCACTGTGGAAACCTACTGTGAGTCAGACCTGTCTCGGCAGCACGAGATGGAGTAGGATAGGAAACAAATGAGAGATGACATTCTCAAGACTTTCTTTTGAGAGCACTTCTCTGGTTTCCCAGGCCTCAGCTCAACATCCAGGAACCTGTTGGTTCTGCCTTGTCCAGAGGATCTGTAAGAGTGGGCACGTCCCTTTTGTGTGGTGGTCAGGAGGTGCTGACAGGGCTGTGCCAGGCACGCTGTGATGAAAGCAGTTGGAAGGGGAGCACTGGCACTGCCAGCGAGCATTGCTCATACATGCAGGGCTAATTCTCTGTTGCTCAGGCTTTGGACCAGATCTGGGTGGAGTCCTTCAGACTGGCAGAGCCTGAGAACATGTTGGGGTTTGCTACCTCCTTTGTAGAGGTCTAGTAAACAGGGAAAGGCTGTGAAAAGGGAACAGAGCTGTGAGGAGTCACATCAGACCTAGGTCTTTTTTATCTGCGTCGGGATGCTTGTCTTGTAAGCAAACAGATGAGAGCCAAAGCATTCCCTTCTGGGTTGGCTGATGAGGATGGGAGGCTTCACTGGTGAGGGACAAAAATGGTCAGCAGAGCAGTAAAGGTGTGTGTAGTGAAGGTGGGATAGGAGCAGTCAGATATTGCTATGAAGATGGACCAGATAGGGGGAGTCCCTGTGGGACTTGCATGGGGTTTGGTTCCTGCCTCTTGAGCCTGGGAGTGAACTGTGTTGCCTGTTCTGGTTACCATTTGCACTGCACCAGTGTCAGAAGTGTTGAATGGGTGAGGATTTCTGCCTGCCTTGGAGGGTAACCAATGAAATGTGTGTGTGATGGGCTTGGGCTCATTGGAGCAGCAAGTGACCCTCACTGGTCACTCCATGGAGCTCTCCTGGGGGAGAGCTTTGCAGGATAGAGCCTTGATATTTTCTCTCATCTTGTTCAATCCCTCATTAAGGTCACAAGCAATAGGATGCCTGTAGTGCTCTTCTGTGCCCTGTAGTTCCCTCCCAGAACTTTGGCCCAGTCCTACTCACTCTTGCCTGACCACGTATGCAAGTAACTCATGATATTGAGCCTGGTACCTCCCATTAACCTGGAGGTTTCGTGGAGTCCCAACGAGAGGCAGCCCACAGCTTCCCCTGACCTTGCAAGATGCCCTTCCTGCTCCTGACCCTGCAGAAACCCCAGGCATCCACAGTGCAGCCCTGGCAGGCGCTGGCAACAGATAAAAACCAAAATGCATAGAAAGCTTCAGGAGTGTGGGCGGCACGGGGAGGGTGGAAAAATAGCTGGGGCGTCGTGTCACCGGATGCCAGGAAGCAGCCCAGCACTGGGGTGAAAGATGAGCAGGGCTGTGGCAGTGGGACTGCCGGCACATTCTGTACATTCTGCAGCCCTGCAGCACGTGGGGCCGTAGGGCAGGCTGGCAGCCACGCGTTTCACTTTCAGGCATGTAGCTGAGCTGGTATTTCGTTATCCTGACACCCACCAAGTCTTTCTCTCTCTCTTTTTTTTTTTCCACCCTGGTTTTAACTGAGGTGCACTTGTTTATCCAGCAGGGCTCTGCAGCCTATAAACAGGATGTCTGACTGCTTCCTTTCAGCCCAGTAACACTAAACCGCTTCGAGTGCAGATAGTGCTTCAGTAACACTATTCAGGTCTGAATCAGCTTCGTGTCAGCCGTGGCTAGCATCATACAAGGCAGCACCTGCATCTGTCTGAGTGTGAATCTAACAGATGCCCATGTGGACTGAGTTGGCTGTTGTGAACAAATCCATGTTGCCAAAAAGGACCCAAGTGTGTGTTTTCATCAGGGTGGCTGTAATGGAATCCCAATTGAGACGGAGTCCTTAATTTCCATTTTGTAAAAGCAATCTAGTTTATAAAATCCTAAACCTGAAAAACCTTTTGGAAAAACTTCTGCTTCAATAAGCATGGCTTCCTAAAGGTTTTCCCACTCTACTGGGGACCTGGGTATGGTGGCCCCAAGAGACTGAAAATGAACCAGAGCATACAGGAGGTGACTCCAAGTAGTGCTCTTGATGAGGAGCAAGATGTTGAAGGGGGGATAAAGGTTATTCTTCAGAAGCACTTGCTGGTTTAGAATATTGAAATCACAAACAACAGTAACAGAATGGAGGTTTGGTTTGACCTGTTGAGTGTCTTGACTTTAATGTTCAAGGTGTTCAGTGATTTTTAATGATTGTTATCTTGTTGCAAGCTCTGCCTCATATTATGTCCTTTAGAACTCTCGTTCCCTTGTATCTATAATTACTTTTTTGTAAAAATTAGATATTCACAGAAATTTAAGTTTCCAGACCTCACGGTAGTGTAGAAAAGCTTTGGAAATGTGCTCCTTATACAAAGAGTGAGTAAGGGGGAAATTGCTATATATGCTAACTCTTGTTGTGTCAGTTTTTAAGCCAATCTTATCAGCTTTGGGATGGACTGATGGTTTCTAACATTCAAGACTGGAAGGCAGGTCTCTGAAAGAGAGATGAATGTTGTCTGGATTTTGTTGGGTCGGGGTGCCCTTATGTTTCTGTAGAGATCTTGAGCTTCTATGTGCCACTTTAACTGATTTGTCAGAATGTTTTGTTTACACAGAAGTATTCTGAATCTGCTACTGAGCTTCAGTTCAGAATAGATATAGAAGAACAAGTTGTTCTGCCATAGCTCTTCTGCAAGTACCTCATATGCGTGCAGCTTCATTCCAAAATGCACATGCCTTTTTTGATTTTGTTCAGGCTGTATCGGAAGGTGGAACAAACTCAAGTGGGAAGGAAAAATTCTCTGTTTTTCCCAAAGTAAATTGATCTGCATTGGGCATCTTTTTCACAGACGTTTGTCTTTTGAAGTTATTATCTGGGCGGGCAGATCCCAAGTTGTGCAGCTGGATGTGACAACCTGGAATTTTTGCAGTTCATTTTATGCTAACACAGCATTCTTAGCAGATCACGTTTCCTATAAAAAGCTGGATGATCCTGGTTTTAATAAAGGGGTCAGCATGCTCACCTTCTGTGCCCTGTTTGGCATGTGGTCCTTTTGTATGACCAGGCTGGTGAGTGATGGAATGTGCTTGCACCTGGTTGCATAAGGGGCTGACACAAATGAATGGGGTGAATGAAGCTGATGTTCCACCTGCTATACAGCTGCCATTTAAATAAAGATGTGCCCCTGATCTCAAAAGCATTTACCCATGGCACGGGTTGGCAACACCAGGTAACATTTTAGATTGTTTTGCTTGGCTTATGTAAAACAGGCACAGATTTCAGCGAGCTGGCGGGTGGTGCTGCTGTTCTGGGTGGGCAGCATGACTCTGCCAGTGGTCACTGCCCTGGTGGAGCAGGAGGACTTGCAGCAGGGCCTGGGCTTGTGAAATGTCCCATCCCCGCAGGCAGAAGGGCTGTGAGGGCTGTGGGTTGAGTTTTGTTTTTTGCAGGGTTCTATGTAACCTCCTGCTTTGCTGGTGCTACCCAACAGGCATTGCCTCTCCAGTGACATGTTTGCATCCTGCATCTCATGTTTCCTAGGGAAAGAGAAGGTGCATGGTATGATCTGGGCCAATTGCCCACTTACCTGCTGGTGTTTTGTTGGGATCAAGCAGTCAGACCAGTGGCAAAGCTTTCTCCTGACTGCACCACAGCTCGGTGCTGCACTCATCTCTTCTCCCATGAGCAACTTGGCACCTCCAGTCTGTTTTTTCTTTTTATATTTTCTTTCTTTTTGGAGAAGAACACAAGATAAAAGAACAAAGAAGAATAAAGGTAAAAGTTTCCTGGGTATCCAAAACCTGTGGCTAAACCACGTGTCCCCGTTTTCCAACCTTGCATACCTCATCTTTGCAGAAGGGTGCCCCAGTGAAGAGCCAGCAGCTTTCCTTATTGATAAGGAATCCTCTCTTTTTTGTTCCAAGTGCCTTTCTTTCCCTTTCTTAAAAAGCACTCGCTTGAATAAAGTGCTGGCAAATGCTTTCTTTTGGGTGCTGGACCTTGGTCTGGAAGGCAGGATGCTGGTTGAACAGTAACAGGAACGTGTAGGCTGGGTTTTGGCTTAGGGTGATGAGCAGCAATGGATTCTGCTCCCCAGTGCCCAGGACTGAGCTGCTCTTGGCAGCTGAAAGACACACTGAAGTTGTTGCCACAAGGGTAACAAAACAGGGGTTTTTACTTTTTTTCCTACAAGGTTGAGCCCTTTTCATGTAATTGGTGACTGTAAGTCAGCAAAACAAAAGTTTGTGGGCTTTGGGTGGATCATATGGAGAAAATATCTTGGTTGGCCTGGCCGTTTCTTGAAGTGTTGTTTGTGGGTAGAGCTGCTCCATGCGCCTTGCAGCAGCCTGGAGTCTAGAAACTATGCACTCTTTGCTGTTGGAGTGTTGAAAAACTCTCCTTCCTCCTCATGGATCTGGGCGTGCTCTCATCTGATAGGACTGACTGGTCAGTACTGGGTTCCAGCTCAAACAGGAAGGTGAACTGGGTTAGAAGTGATAACTTAGCCATTAGCATGTTGTGTAGGACAGAGATTGCCTTCATCTCATGTCAAATGTTTGCTGATGCTCCTATGGACTGAGGAAATGATGTGGCATGATGATCTCCCTGTGCTTCCTTCTTAGTTTGCTTTGTGGCCAACTGTTGAGAAACATGATGGCCTGGTTTGTAAGTTACAACTTCTGTCCTAAATCTTGCATAGCTGATCCCTGTGAGTTAGCCTGGAGGGACTTCATGAGATTCATCTGCTCTGTGTTCCTATCTGATCCCCTCTGGACCTTGTGGCACTTGAAAGTAGAATATTGTATAAAATGTGTGGAAATTTGGTCAAAGAGGAGAGAACAGCTATTTCTAATGCATTCAGAAATGGTGACTGAAAAGTGATGGAAAGAGAGAATATATATACTAAATATCTTAGCAGGCAAAACCCACTAAAATTTAGAATAATCTTGGTGATGGTAAAACATCATGGTGAGGGAAATACATGTGAAAACTGCTGTTGGTGCCTGAGAGAGCGAGGGCGGTGTTGCATTAAGCTTATGGAGAATTGACTAACTTTCCCACTAATTTTTTCCCCACTGTCTTGTTAACATTTGAACTGGAAAAAGTCACGTGGTTTGAAAATGTTACTTGGTTAAAGAAAAAAAAACAACAACACAACCAAGAAACAAGAAACAAGCAAGCACTTACTGTGATGTGTGGTGAGTAGAATTATAGGAGCTACCCAAAAGCAATGCTTTGGAGTGGGCTGTTGGATTGACTGCAGGAAGGAGCGATGTGCCTGGGCTGGATGCAGCATAGCAATGATTCTGGTACGAGAACAAAGTAGTTCAAGTAGATCCCCTGCCTCAAACTAAGATGCGTTGATTCAATCTGCTGATTAGTAATGCATAAGAGGCGAGCTAAAGGTTAATTTAATAGAAGAAAACAAACATTAATATGAGCAGGGGATTAATTTGAAGCTTGAAAGGAGGGCATTGCAAATACTGGGATTGTGCAAGCTGGTTGAAACACCCAACCAGCTCCCTTCTGTCACTGGTGGAGACTGCTACTGCATGAAGCTCAAACCAGAGCGTGGCTGGCAAATGGGAAGTATTTTGTGTATGGGGGGAAAAATTAGAAAGAAACAGGAAAAAGCACATTCTGTTTTTGAGGAAAAAATAACTCCTAAGCACCTTCCCCCTTGCCCCTAATGAAACCCACAGACCTTTTCAGAATCTGAACTTTCTAGTTCCTCTTCAGTTTAAGAAAAACAGTACAGCACAAAGTTCCTAACACCTTCAGAACACCAGAATGTGGTCTCCCAGTTTTGGTGGGAGGTCAATGAGTTTTCCTGGGGAATAAGTTTCCAGGAGGCTTCCAGGCATGGCCAGGAGAACCTGCCTGCTGTTCCATAGCACCAAGTGGGTTTGCTGGAAGGAGGCAGAGTGAGAGGATTTTCTTAATGCTGGCAGGTACTGTCTGATGTGCAGTACTTTAAGATGACACGCTTGTTGAGTTGTACCACCATCTATGCTTTCTCTATTTTGGGAACCTAACAGCCCTCTGCCTTCCTCTGGGTTTTTACCATCCTCTCAGCTGTCTAACTGAGTGGTTCTGGCAAGTTGTCAGTCTGTGGCCTTGAAGTGTAACACTTTCCTGCTGAGTTAGGGTATCTCCTCAGCCTCTACCTCCTTCGTTTCCTCATTGCTTGCACCCTGCAGATGGGCTCCTGAGGTGCTCGGTGTGAGTTACAAGCTCCTGAGAAAATCTGTGGGTAAATAATTAACACCGCTGAAACACTGAGCTGCCTTCTCCCCTCCCTGGAACTGACTGGCGACAGTAAATATTTCCCTTTTTAGCTTCTCATGCCCATCCTAAGGAGCAGATCTCCTTGATTGGGATCTTTCCTCTGAGTTTTCTTTTACCTTCTCTTTCTGAGAGTAGATAATGCTCAATTACAAATGAGAGGTGGAACTGCAGGGGAGGAGCTGACCTATATGCCTTTCATCTGGTTATATCCCTGCACGGAGGAGAAAAAGGCTTCTGAATTGACAGAAGGTAAAGTGAGTCCTTTGGGCTCAAGCTGGTGCCAGGATAAAACCAGCAGCAAAAATCGGCCCTTGGTTGGGGTCTGGTTTGAGTCTGTAGCAAATCATTCAGGCTGCTTTACAGCAAGGTTTAAGTGAGTTGGAAGTGATGATGGAAAGGAAGAGACTGGGTGATTTCCAGAGATCCCTTCCAGTCTGTGATGGTGTGAGTTCCTTGTGAGTTTTTTCACTCCATGGGTAGCAAGCAGTGGGTCTTTGCTGACCTTCTGCTCTCAGCAAGTGGTACAGTGGGGATGGAAGAGATGCAAAATGGCTGTGGATGCCAGTTTGCACCCTTCCTACTTTTTACACTGTCTTGAAGGAGTGTGTCAGCTCTTCTCCAGGAGGAGGACTTGCAGTCAGTTACAGTGTGAAGTGCAACCGGTCTGTGTCCTCTGTTCTTCACTGGGGAGACCCCTGGGTTACACTATGAATGAAAGTGATGCTTAGAACAGCAGAGAAACTCAGGATGAGCAAGTTGGGAAGTTGCTGAGGCTGTCAGAGGCGATGTGGCTTCTCCAGTGGTTGGAGCAGGAGGCGTGTGTTAGGCTGCAAACATAGTAGCTTGCTGTGCTGGTAACTTTGGGATTATCCCAGAACTGTTTTCAGCTCTGTCATGAATTCCCTGTGTAACTTTGGACACTTTCAGTGCTTCCTAAAAGGCCAATCACCTAGGCCTATGTTTTGATAGGGTTTAAGTGGAAATGTAGAATCGCAATGAATAGTCTCAAGTGAACAAATTCTTGAAGATTAGGGGGAAAAAAAAAAAAGCAAACACCTCCCATGCTTTCTCTGTGCCTCGGCTTTCCTTCTCGTAAGAGGTGCTCTGGAAACCTCCTCCCAGGTGTTGTGCAAAACTTACCCTCAGTCAGGTGTGTACTGTGACAGTGATAGCTGCAGAAAGACCTGAATATTGGTGAGACCAAGAGGAAGAAAATGGGGAATACCTAATGTAAGTGCAATTAAGAAACAGAACCAAAAAGTCCTTTGATCTCAAGCTTCTGTGGTTTTCTCTTTATTTTGCTTGCTCACGCTCCTTGGAGGATTTCAGGAGGAGCTCCAGAATTCAACCCAGCACCACCCTTGGTGAGAGCCACCTTGAGAGCTTGCAGGGCACATCCCCATCAGGCTCAGTGTGTGGGGAGAGCTGTGGCCGTGGTGCAGGCAGCTTATCTGACTGCATGAACCAGTTCCTAAAGTGATGTATGTGAAGCATGGCCAAGCAGATTAAGTGTTTCCTCTACTGAGTGGTATTTGTTGTATTGTAAAGCTGGAATGGTTCCTAGAAAGCATTAAGATACAAATAATATTAACCAGAACTGAGAGAGAACAGCCAGCCACTCAGAAATGAAAGAAATACGCTGCAGTGTGAACAGGGCAGAAGGACTGAGGCTGCCTGTTTCCTGCTGCATTTCTTTGTAAATTGTACTGGGCTCCCCGGGAGATGCCATGCTAATCACATGCAAAGTGCCATTCCTCTGTTTATTTTCATGGTGTATTTACCTGAATGGTAACGCCTCCTTCCCTTCCTTCTGATACAAAACGTGCTTGTTCACTCACGTGAGTGCTTGTAAGGCCAAAGGGGCAATCAGCCCTCTTAATCTGGACTGTCATGGAATAAATCACCTACTGGGCTAAATCCCTGCAAGCTTGTCCTGATCTCACCTCATCCTCATCTGTGTTCACATGTGCAGTTGCACACTGGCAGTAGTGTGTAACTTGCTTCCTTCCCTTGCAGCTTAACTGAGTAAATCCTGCAAGAGCAAAGATAGAAATTGCATTATGTTGGTGGGCCTGGGCTATAATTCGGGCAGAAGGGCAGTGCTGGCTCCAAAGAAATACATTCCCTTCTATCTACGTTTTTTCCTCTGTAGCTTGGGGAAACTGTGTGTTTCGGTTTTGTTTCTTGTTGACTAGATGCATGCCATCAGTTTTGTGTTTTGAAGTATGTAGTTTCTCCAATGGTTTGAGCAGGTCATTCCCTCAGCAGTCAGGAGAGAGACGAATTACTGAAAACCACTGTGTTTTTGTGGTTTTTGTTTTCTTTTAATATACTGAAAATGCAGGCAAGGGACTTGGCACAAACAGACGGCCTGAAACTACCTATAAATTTCTGAACTCTTTCCTTTGCTGATGCCAAATTGAACTTGACAGTAGAGCTTTCCTTGACAAGCATTGAAATGGAAAGTCACAGAGAGCCATGAAAGGGGTGTGTACAAATCCTGGGGGTCAGAGTATGTACAGGGGATGCACACAGAATGAGATCACTTCATTTTTTTTAATCAGTTTCTACAAGTAGTACTTCCCCAGGGCACGTCTGCAGCAATGACTGCCTCTGTAACAGCAGTAGTTACCTGCATTTGCTACCTGGCATGTGCTGGCACCATGACCTGCGTTTTTTGAGGTTATTGCAAATAAGTGAGTAAAAGCTCTGGGCTTTGCTGTCTCATGCTTCATTAAAGATTGTTTTTGAAAAAGGTGCACCTTGTGCCAAAGCTGTCTCTGGTGTTCTCTATTGTCTGG